AAGCTAGACTGTCCCCCAGTTTGTATCAATACACGTTTGTGCATGATCTCGCCTAAAAATATTTCTTCTTCCAGTATGTGGAATGAAAGCAAACTTGTAATATTCGAGTTGTTAGTTCCATATTGAAGGCAGATATTACACTTTTCTACAGTTAAAACATTTTCTATCCATTTTTCATTTTCAGGTATATCAACTCAGATCTGTATATCTCACTAAAATATTGAATCAAGATATTTCCTGGTATGACGTTCATGAAACTGGGGATTTCTCGAGTCGAATGACGGAGTAAGTATAGTTTTTCATTTCATCGTTTGAACTATATCAAGTCACACAAAATACCCAGTTCCACGTGTTCCACGTGTTCCAATAAGGGGACACAATAAAGGACAAAACCAGAGGAAGTGTATAGTTTCAAATTATTACAAATTCATAATATTTGAGGGTATCAATGTGAAACAATTAATTTTTTGGAGTTTTCCCAATTTTATTTATAATATTTTCCTATAAACGCCATATATTAATAGTTGTCTTAGTATAGGAATCACACGTTAAAAGGTAAGACCTCGTTAATCCTTAGCTCGCACAAGTTTCGACTTCTGAGGGTTGTCGTTCGTAAGGGTGCGACAGCTGGTTAACGGAAAAACAGATTTTAAACAGATTTTTTAAACAGAAAATATAGTGTTATGAGAGTACATATTTCTCGATCACTGTTTCTCCCAAAAAAAAAATCGGGAGAAGCAGCAAGCGACTTTTTGCTATCATTTCAGATAGCATTATCAAGACTTGTTATTGCTCGTTCTTTGTGAGATGTAACTTTCACTTTACATAACTCTCAGTTACGTAATTCTCACGTAATTCTCAGTTACTTACTCTCACGTTACGTAACTCTTATGTTACATAACTCTCACGAAACGTAACTCTCAGTTACGTCTCACTAAAAAGAGCGATAACAAGTCCTGATAATGCCATCTGATGTGGTGGCGAAACGTCGATCTTTGAAGAATACACGACAGATGAACACCCGGAAACGCACAGATGGTGGAATATAATGAGTTGTTTCTCCAGGTGTTCATATGTTGTGTGTTTTTCATCAAATTTCGACGTTTCGCCATTACTTTAATGAGATTTTCAAGACTGGTTTAATGCTACTGCTGCTTATACACCTCACTGAGCGGGAGCAGTAACCAGTCTTGAAAATATCATCTTAGATAATGGGACAGCGTCGACATTTAATGAAAAACATACAACGGATGAACATAATTGAAATAGACTGTCCCCATGCATATGCTGAAGGTTTCATGAAATATCTTGGGACTTAGGCCTCAAATAAATTCAGTGGATATATGTGATGACTGTCAGACCAATGGCCAATGTGAAGCAAAAGCCAGTAGCCAACAGGCAATTGTTCTGGTGCTCAAGATTGCCTGACTATCTTTGGTGCCATCAACACCACAGCTCCTGGAGAAAGAGGCTACGTGAATTACATTCATACTTGTTGATCGTAGCCAATTGCACAAAACATAGCGGTTCACGACAGACTACTGGCTAACACAAAGAATCACAGTATTTTAAAAAAATGCTTTTATCTGTCAACTACGAACTGTCTTGTGTAGTTCCAATTCCAAGTAGAAAGGTTTGGATAGTGCCGAAGGAGGAAACAGATAGCTGTTGAATCACAGATTGATAAAAAACACGTTCAGGTTCTGGTGCAGTCGCAGACCCACGACAAACATATTAACCTAGCAAGAGACCATTGCGACTCAATTCACTACGCCATTGATTTGTATGTGAAGAGTTTAGCAAAAACCAACCTCGAGTAAATCAATGGAACTATTGAAAAATACTCTCCTTCATAGGACGACTGAACAAATTGTGCCTTGCCGGGATACCTGGCCACACTCGCCTGAAGGTAATGAAGCTACTGGTTACCTTGCAAGAGATTGTGTTGGAAGCACAATCGGTCGCTCACTAGCATCGCTTGAGGCTTTGCCAGACAAACACTGAACTTCTGGATTACAAGAAGAGTTTCAAACTTCTGGAAAAATCCAACAGGATTAGTCAATTCCAAGACATTTATAATCCTTCTTAGGAATCACACGTTAAAAGGTAAGACCTCGTTAATCCTTAGCTCGCACAAGTTTCAACTTCAGAGGGTTGTCGTTCGTAGGATTGCGACAGCTGGTTTACGGAAAAACAGATTTGAAACAGATTTTTTCGAAATATGCAGAGGTGATATGAAATGACTGGACTGTCGAGAGTTAGTATGTGCCGGCGTTGGATAATGATGCTTCAATAATACGCTGATTCATTCGGATGAATGAATCAGCGTATGAGTGGGTCTATTCGACTTTCCACCGCAACCCGCAAGGATTTATTGTGGCCTACACCTATTCATACTTGAGCAAATGAACACAGCTTCTCAACCAAGCCGATTAGTTTATATGGTAGCCTTTCAGGTCAGATGGTGAAAGTGAGGTTTTGCCAAACTTAGAACACCTGATTCGGGGCGGGCACGAAGTATGTGCTCTGCTGTTTCACCATTTCCTGAACAGAGGTGACATACACTGTCTTCCGACAGTCCGAGTCTCTGCATATGATAATTCAGATAACAGTGACCTGTGAGGAGACTTGTTAGACATCGTAATCCTGGAAGATTTTGCCAGAAGTCAATATATCTCTCTGCTATCCAAGTGTTCAACGTTTCTTTGGCAGAGCCTTAAGCGATGCCAATGACAGGTTCTGCTCCAATAAAATTGCTTGCAGCACCCTCCTTTGTAGCCTCATCGCCTTTCAGGCCAGTATGGCCAAGAATCCAGGTCAAAGACATTTTGTTGAGTCTTTCTTCTGTGGAGAGACGTTTTTGACACTTTGCTACCAATCTAGACGTTACTAGTTAGGATCCAAGAGCTTCCAAGCGTGGATTCAGACGTAGACATCCGGACATTACGATGCGTGCCCCAGAATCAACGTGTTCTGCTCGAGCGCGAGCTTTTAATAATCTTGTGGTGGATACATTTTTTTCGACTTTGAAAAACGTGCAAGAAAAACATTATTTTCCACCCCATCGAATATTTAATGTTGACGAGACGAGTTTATGCACTGTCCCAACAAAAAACTCGAGAGTGTTTGCACAAACAGGCCGCAAACAGGTGGCGCGAGTGACTTCAGCTGAGAGAGGTGAAACAACGACTGCAGTGATTTGTACCTCAGCTTCTGGAACTTTTGTTCCTCCAATGTTAATCTTTCGCAGAGTCAGAATGAAAATAAAATTAATGGATGGCGCACCTCCAGGCGTTATATGTGCATGCAATCCATCTGGTTGGATGAAACCAGATGTATTTTCTCAGTGGTTCGATCACTTCTTGAGTTATGCCAAACCGACAGCAGAAGATCCGGTTATTTTGATATTGGATGGTCACCTATCTCACACAAAAAATTTGAATGTGGTATTGAAAGCCAGGCATAATCACGTCACTATTTTATGCCTGCCGCCTCATTGCACCCACAAACTCCAACCCTTGGACGTCGGAGTCATGTATCCGCTAAGCGTTTATCATAACCAAGCGTTGGAGAAGTGAATGAATAACAATCCTGGGAGAGTAGTGACCGTGTTCCAAATAACGAAAAATTTTACAGAGGCCTATCTAAAAGCAGCAGTTCCACTGAATAGTATGAATGGATTCAACAAAACAGGAATATACCGGGTGTCAACGAATCTATTAGACAAGTCATAATTTCTAGACTATTAGGAGAATTGAAATGAGATTTAATACCCTCGAGTATTTCTGAGCGCAACAGATAATGGTAATAGTGAGATGCAGAAGAGAAGGGGACTGAGGGAATCGCCCTGAAATACACCCCTTCTGAAAGTGGCTCCCCCTGTTTGGACTCTGGCTTAACCAGATGTTATGGTGAAGCGAGTTCGCCAAAGTGATATCATTTTTTCAATGCATCTTACAATTTTGTCGGGTGCCGCAAGGCATCTGAACAAATGCAATATGAGCTCATGCGATATTGTATCAAATGCCTTACGATAATCGATCCAGCCCATTATTATCATTATTAAGTATTGAAATCAATCATTGACAGGCTTCGTAAATAAAACCTGATTATCTTCTTCATACATTTTTCATATTCCGCATCGTTTTCATTAATTATCGATTTTCAGCTGACTACCAGGTTCGCCCAAAGAGAGTTAGACGCCTATGGTGCCGCTGGAGCTATAGCAGAAGAAGTCCTTTCTTCAATTAGAACTGTGGTAGCTTTCAGTGGTCAAGAGAAAGAAGCCAAACGGTATGATAAAAACCTTGAATTCGCAAAGAAAAACAACATCAAGAAAAACATGTTTTCGGGAATCGGTACGGGTATGTTGTGGTTCATGATTTATTCTAGTTATGCTCTTGCATTTTGGTATGGTGTGAAACTGGTGCTAGATCAGAAGACCTGGACAGATCCTGTCTACACCGTCAATAATATGGTTACGGTAAGTTTTTTGTGTGGACTTGTTCGAGAATATGTCTTTAGCCATAAAACGTCTGAGCCTAGACCCTCGCGATACACCTTGAGTAATCAGTGGAAAATGGAAAATGAAAAGGGAAACGCATGTTCTTGCAAGACCGATCTGTGTGTTTTCGATGCATTACGTCTGTATTCGCTGGATGCCAGTAGATTACTAATTTTTTTGTTTACCAACTACGTACCTAACATCGTTTTCCTCCCACTCCCATATTGAATGTAACTGACTGATGTTATACAATTATTCAAACATGAAAACGAAGACGAACGAACAAACGCGGCGAATTAATGAACAAACGGTTCCTTGTTGCCGTTACCAGGAACGAAGTATTCTGTATATATAATCAATAAAAATCTCCTCAGTCTGAGACGCTCTGTGTCATAAAACACAGTTTCATGACACATACAGCTCTGAAACTTACGTACCGGTGTCATATACCTACTTCACACGTGATGATTCGCCGGGTAATCCATAATATTTTCACAAATACCGTCAAGTAACAACGAATAAATTGAATTTTGCTAACTAACCAAACGCACGTTGAGAGACCGTAAATGACAAATGTTCAAACACACTTGTTTTGTTGATGAATTCTACATTCCTTTCTCCTTTGATTTCATGTACTCCACGTGAAGATCCGACTATTATTAACGAAGATACAGCTCAATGCCCTTCTGGCTGCCTCTTTGTTTTTTCTTTGTCAATAAATTAAACATGCATGACCTTTCATTTGATGTTCTGCACCCCGTCAATCTAACTAATAATAACGAAAATACAACTCAATGCTCTTCTAACATACAGCATTCTACCTTTGTTTTCTCTTTGTGGATAAATTCTGAATTCCTTTTCCTTTCATTCAATGTGTTACACGCAGATATCTGACTATTATTAACGAAGATGCAGCTTGGTGCCCTTTTGGCTGCCTCTTTGTTTTTCTTTGTCAATAAATTCAACATCCCTGGCCTTTCATTCGATGTGCTGCACCCAGTCAATCTAACTTATATTAGCGAAGATACAACTTAGTGCTCTCCTAACATACTGCACGTGATTAAACGAAAACGGTAACAAAAATGACATTAACAAAAACGGTAGAAACGCGTGTAAAACAACGTTTTTTGAATTATCATTACTGAAAATTTCGCTCCTCCCATTGTCCCACATTCGAACGGCAACTCCACAAGTGTATATACATGTCTCATTGAGATCGCACGTTGAACCGCTAGACTTCCATTAAACCAACTTTTTTTTTTCTTCAATGATGTATTTTGTCACATCTTGTACACAATGATACCATGTTTTTTTCTTGAATGATGTATTTTGAGAGACACCCTATACATATGGGGATTGCACGTTGAAACGTTAAAGCCCCCTAGTTAAACTGTTACGTTTTTTTCTGAAATGATGTATTTTGCCACACCTTGTACACATCGACACCATGATTTTTTTCTTGAATGGAGTATTTTGAGCACCCTTTACTGAATGCCCATTGCATCGTCGCCATGTTTTTTCTGTAATCAGATTTTTCACTCATTATTATTATACCAGTTTCGCGCTTCGAATATATTCATCGACATTTATTATCTTAATAAACGTTTTTTCATTCTCGACCCAAAATCCCCATTGTGCATCTACTAGGGTAGAACCTTATGTATTTCAACTAACTTCGGTTAATCATCGGCTATACTCAGACAGGTACAGATTCGAAGTATCAACATTTTTCATTATAATACTAATATGCAAACCTGCTACTATATTATTACGTGAGCTGAGCCTATTGAAAACATTTTACCTTCCCCAGAACAAATACACATTACTTTCACCTGTCTCCCTGATAATTTTTTTCTCCATATCATATATTTCTCTGCTCAAAGAAACCGTGGCCAGCTTGGGGACAAGAAAATGTAGTACCGCCATTTTTTGTTATGGAAAATGATGGGATATGTCACAGATATTCTTTCTAGATGAATCAAAATCGAAAATGGCAAATACATTATCCAAATACAGGAACCAAGTTCGTGAAAATTAATCTAACTCTTCTCTTGCTTTCATTTTGAATTTGAATTTGAACAGAGTAGCCATGAGAAAAGATCACGGGTTGCCTTCATGTTGCTTGTAAAAATAATTAGCGAACTAGCGAACAATTCTGTCCCATGCAAATTTGTGTGAGCTAAATGTACCCTTGGACTACTTCACCACATTGTTCATTCATTTCTAAGGGATCTATCAGATATTTGGTTGTTTTTGATATCAGGAAACTTGGAAATAACGAAGATTCTTCAAAAGGTATTAGCTATTATTCTTGATGTGAAAACTCACATGGAACGCTTACTTGGAAAAGCTTCTATACAAAGCTAGACTGTCCCCATGCATATGCTGAAGGTTTCATGAAATATCTTGAGACTTAGGCCTCAAATAAATTCAGTGGATATATGTGATGACTGTCAGACCAATGGCCAATGTGAAGCAAAAGCCAGTAGCCAACAGGCAATTGTTCTGGTGCTCAAGATTGCCTGACTATCTTTGGTGCCATCAACACCACAGCTCCAAGAGACATGGAAATCCTTCTAGACCTAGCTTCTGGAGAAAGAGGCTACGTGAATTACATTCATACTTGTTGCTCGTAGCCAATTGCACAAAACATAACGGTTCATGACAGACTACTGGCTAACACAAAGAATCACAGTATTTTAAAAAAAGGTTTTTATCTGTCAACTACGAACTGTCTTGTGTAGTTCCAATCCCAAGTAGAATGGTTTGGATACTGCCGAAGGAGGAAACAGATAGCTGTTGAATCACAGATTGATCAAAAACACGTTCAGGTTCTGGTGCAGTCGCAGACCCACGACAAACATATTAATCTAGCAAGAGACCAATGCGACTCTATCACTACGCCATTGATTTGTATGTGAAGAGTTTAGCAAAAACCAACCTCGAGTAAATCAATGGAACTATTGAAAAATACTCTCCCTCATAGGAGGACTGAACAAATTGTGCCTTGCCTGGATGCCTGGCCACACTCGCCTGAAGGTAATGAAGCTACTGGTTACCTCGCAAGAGATTGTGCTGGAAGCACACAAAAAATACCTTGAAGAGGAAGCCAAAAAGAAAACAGAGGAAGCCAAAAAGAAAACAGATATAGAAGGAAAAAAAGCCTTTAAGAAAGCGAATAAAATAAAAACTACGGTGACCAACAAACAGAACGATAAAGGAAAAGAAGGCGGGAAAGGAAAAGGAAAAGGAAAGGGAAAAGGCAAAAAAAAGCAAAACAGATCAGATGCTTCTGAAGAGGAGAGTGATACCAAATGCTTCTTCTGTACTGAAAGCTATTCCAAAGACAGTCAAGGCGAAGGGTGGATTAGGTGCGTTGTGTGACTTGAATGGGGATATGAGGCTTGTGCGGGAGTAGATCGTGTCTATAGTGCGATATTTGCCTCTCTAGTAATCAATTTGAAAGTGTGAAAAAAAAAGTTAAGGCTATAGGTCTTTTTCTATTCCCCTCCTGATAAGAACATTATCATTTTTCTGTTGCATTTAGACATTGATAAGAACATTTGATAGGGATGAGTATTATTTTTGTTTTTTTTTTTATTTAGAAGAAGAGTTTATTCGATTACCTATTGCTTGAACTAGGTATGTTGTTAATTTTGCAAACCATTCGATTTTTAGTATCCACAATCGTCTTCAGGTGATGACTGGACTTATTCCTCGGAGATCTGACTATAGATCATTCGAGTGCATTCACCTATCCCCTCTTCCCTCTCACCGTTTCATCGGTTTTAGCGGAAGCAGACCGTTTGGCGAGAGTTGGTCATGTTCCGATTGATTAGAGGTTTCCATATGTTACGTATCTCTACTCTAGCTTGACTGAATGCGTTGTTGGACAACATATATGAGGCTTCTTTGAATTTTTCCTAAACCAATGTTCCTCCCTGTGGATGATTTCAGCTTGAAACCACTTGGTGTTATATTGTCCAAATAAATATGAGTCCAAATAAGCTCTACTATTTCGATTTGCTGGTCTCAATGGCCTCTTAGTTTCACTCGCATGCAATTCTTGGAATCGCAGTCCGCGTTTTCGATATTGGTGGCCTGATTTTCGTGAGGCTGTTATGGATAGTGTTCCCAGGTCTGAAGCGGGTTCTGATGTTATTTTTGGCCCCAATTTTTCTTATTTTTCCCGACAATTTTCTGATGTAGGGAGGTACAGGTACTGGTTGTGGTAGCTTCTCTTCGTTGTGAGGCTCTTGCTGTCTTCTAGCCAAAGTCTATTCCACCATCACTTTGGAGTAACCATTCTTCTGAAGGTCATTTTTGATGATGCCTAGTTCCTTTTCGAGACCTTCCTTCATATTGCAGAGCCCGAAGTCACGGTCTATTAGTCTTTTAGAGTCTTGATGATTCCTCTTTTAGTCGATTGATGGTGGTTGGACAGTATCTGAACCAGGAATCCAACCACCATCATTTGACTACGAGAGGAACCATCAAGGAATCATCAAGGCTCCACTAGACCGTGCTTTTGGGCTCTGTTATACGAAGGAAGGTCTCGAAAAGGAACTAGGCTTCATCAAAAATGACTTTCAACGGAATGGTTACTCCAAAATGATGGTGGAACAGACTGGCTAGAAGACAGCAACAGCCTCACAAAGAAGAGAAACCGTCATAACCAGTACTTGTACTTCCCTACATCAGAGGATTGTCGGAGGATTACGAGTGCGGAGAATCATACATCGGTGGAAGTACGAGGCCATTGAAAGTTCGCCTCATCGAGCAGAAGAAACACACATCGAGGAGAAACCAGCAAATATATAAATTCAAAACAAACAATT